TCAGAATGTCCCTTTAGCTGCACCCCAAAAGTCTCGCTCTCCCCAAGTGGAGCTGCGTCCTGCCCCAATGCGTGGTTGGAGCCCAAGTGAGACACGAGGTGCAGGACGGTCTCCAGGGATGCAGCGATGTTCAGGAAGGTCAGGCGTGAAGCTGCACGTAAAAGCAAAGCCGTGCGGGTTAATTTAAGTCATACGCAGCCAAGGCACGTAGATAACGACGCTTTGCCCTCTGTGAACATTGGGTAGCATTTAGCACCATTAGGCTTTGAGCGTTTGTCATCCCAGATAATGCTAAAACACCCGGGATTAGTTTGCAAACGCTGTTTTTTCACACTTCTGCAGCTCAAGTGCGACCATGCAAGATGATGAGCAGCTTCACGCCTTCATCCCCAGGAGGGATTTGCACCAAGCAGGTGATGGGCTGAGCTTGCATTAAAGCAGCCCGGCAAAGCCTTTCCCGGTGGTGCAAACCGGCAGTTTTGTGGAGCACCGGTGATGTGCGGCAGTGTTACGCTGTCACTGGGGATGAAGCAGAGCAGACGTCCCTCCGGATGGGATCCTTCCAGCACAGCCAGCCCTGGGAAAGGCAGCCAGTTAAAATAACAGTTTATTCTGCCTGAAGTCTTGCGGGATGGTGGAAGGATCCCAGAGCAGTCCTGCCTGGGTTCCTGCTTTATGTCACGGGAGGGGGGCTGCTGTCCCAGCTGGGGATGTTTTAGGGTTTTTCTTACTCTTTTCACTACTTTCTTGGGGCCTTTTTCCTGCCTGTCAGTGAAGTCCAGGAATCGGATGTGTCCCTTGTTTTGCCCATCCATTTCCCCTTCCCTGCACATGGAAAAAGAAATTAAAGGCAGGAAGAAAAGAATAAAATGGGTTTAGAACATAGAAACGTGGCTTGAAGGAAGTTATTCGGAGCAGAAAGCTGGGCCCAGGCATGATGCTTATCACGATGCCCCACTGTGGGCACAGTGCTCTTACCCTGGCAGAAGTGCTTCCTGCAAGGGAAATCTGATTTTATCGCAGGGAAGCTCTTGAAATGGTGGGGAAACTGGTATTTCAGTGTTCTCCTTGCAAGGTGTTTGCTGCTGTGGGTCGCACGTCAGGTCTGAGCACGCCCCAGGGTTTGCTGTGCCGTGCACTGGCCTCGGAGAGTGTCACTTCATGCCTCCACCAAAAGCAGAGTGGGATGTGTTACCTCAATGCACAATGGGGAAACACTGGCTGCTGTAAGGCTGTGCTGCTCCGGGGATTTCAGACCTTACCACAGCAGGAGAAACTGAAACATTTCCTCAAAGCGACCCCAACCCTGTCGCATTTTATTATTTGTTTGCTTTGGCCCGGAAAGCAGGGCAGGGTCTCCCGGGGTGACATGAAAGCTGTCGCAGAGCCCCAGGGCAGCAGCCTGCACCCGTGCCACCTCGCTTGTGGGTGGCACCCGTGTTTATTTACCTTTTCGTCACCTGATTACCATGCCCTGCCATGTTGCAGGCGCCAGCCCGTGGGCTGCCAGCCCTGTTTGAGTTGGCAGGAGCTGGAGATTAACCTCCAGCTAAAATAGCCCGACGCCAGCCCCACGTCTGCCCGGGGTAGCCAGGCTTGTTGCATGCCCTTAGAGCATCTTGTATTGGAATTTGGCAGCCCAGCTTGGGCCACGGTCGCTGTGAGACAGGATGGCACAGTGAGGAAAGAAGTCGTGATGTGACAAGCTCAGAGCAAGTTGCAAATCCGCAGCAGCCCCAGGAGCTGGCTGTGTTTTGTGCCCCTGCAAGGCAAATCCACGTGGGTCAGGGGAGCCAGGGCTACCTGCACCTCTCCGCTTGATAACCCAGAGGAGAGCATGCTCCGTTGCTGGTGGGAATGGTCCTGTGACATCCAGGCACCCATTGCCCCATTGTGGTGTCTCTGCTTCCTTGGCTTTGCTCCCCAAAGCCACGATGCAGAAGAGCAGGAGCAGAGAAACTACACATACATGTTTGCCAAGCTGCAGGTCCCGCAGCTTCGGAAGCTGAAGATTGGTGGTGCGAGTGGGTGGCCCTGGTTTGGGATACTCTGAGCAAGTGTTATCACTTTCTACCCTTGATGGTGTTATTGCATTTGTCTTCTGGCCATATTGGGGAGCTTGGGCACAGAGTAGGATCCCCATGCTGAGCTCTGAGCCACCGACCGAAGAAAGGGGCTATTCAGGTGCCGGGTGGGAGTTTCCATTTCAGCCTTCTGCACTCACCACGTTCTCCCAAGGGAATTGCAGATTTGGGGTTTTGCTGGTTCCTTGCCTGCGGTGGGTTTCCTGGCTTGCTGGGGCATGGCAGTGCCACAGCTCAGCACCACCTCAGCTGCCCCCAGTGCCACAGGGCTGGCTCACATAAAACTTGGGTTTTGGTGAGTAGCAAACCCTCTTATTTCTAGTGAGACTTTGGAAGTGAGAGGGAGAGGCTTCAGCCCCAAACATTCCTGTTTTCTGGTGGGTCTTGATCAATTCAGCCCCAAAAATAGGAGTTTATTTTGACTTTCTGCCCTTTTTCTCTGGGTATTTGGTGTAAAATGGGCACTGAGCTGCCACATGAAGGGTGGTGGAAGGAGTCCCTGATGGCAGGGGAGGTGCCTGGTTCTCAGTATACTCAGAATCGGGGTTTTTTTGGGGAGATGCCCACAGCAACATGGCTAATGTTTGAGGTTTGCTGACAGCAGTGCCAAAGTGTCACTCTGCCACCGGCAGTATTTCGGCTAGCTGCCCCGCTGCACGTGTTTCCTCCAGAGTTCACAGAAACCTGTTTTCGTGCTTTAATCGAGAGCTTATGCAAAGTCTCTGCTCTGCAAACGGTGTCCCTGCGGCTCTTCATGCAAACACCGTGCAGGAGAAGCACTAAGAGGACCACGATGTTTCGGGTGGCTGCTTGGGGTGGAAAGTCACCCCTGGGCACTCCAGCAGAACCAAGACCTGCAGGACCCCCAGCCACCTCCTCAGGGCACCCACCTGCCCCCAGCCCTCTCACCTTGCATGTTTGCACCCTTAAAATGGAGCCTGGATGGAAATAGCAGCAGCAGATCTCTTCTACTTTTAATTTTGGTGGCTCTCTGGGCTGGGGAGAGGAAGCTGGGGGTGGAGAGGAGCCAGCTGCAAAAGGGAGAAGAGCCACCTTCCTTCTGACACGCTCTGCAGAGTGATTCGAAATGTTGAAGCTGCTCCAAGACTACTTTTTTTTTTTTTTTCTATAAGAATAATTATAGGCATTACGTACTGGTCTGTTTCTCATGGTAGCAGGGAATCAGAGTAGCCTTATCTAGGAGGGACATGGGTTTAAAACAACTCGTAGTAAGTGTGTCTGCGAGCACTGGGGAGCTGGTGCAGTTCAAAGCGTAAACACATTCAGGCTTCTTGTTTTCACTGTTTCGTTCAGTGAAGGTGGGTTTGGTTTTGGGTTTGGTTTTATTTTTTCATTTCTCTGAATGAAAATAGATGATGGAAAACAGCCGAGCAGGTTTCACTTCCTGCTCTCGCTCAGGGCTTTCGCGCTGGGGGTTCTCAGAGACAGCCCCACGTTTGGTCCCGCGGCGAGACATCAAGCGTGTCTGCCTTGGGCTGATTCCTATTGAACTTCAGCCGGTCCCTTACTCCCTCCCAGAAACGCAAGGAGTTGGAGGAACGTCTTGTTTTATTATCACCCTGTGGGGCGCAGAAGTAGGTGGCAGACAGCGGAGGCTTTGGGACAGCTTTTCGAGAGGTTTCTGCCTGAATTTTCCCCCGTTGGCAGGTTTGGATTTGAGGTTTTCTGGGGTCTGGTCCCCTCCCACCTCAGTGCACCAAAGGATGGAGGCCACATGTACCCTGCCCTGGTGCCCTGTCCCCTTGGTGCTGGTAGCCCACTGTCCCTTGCAGCACTATGTGATGCCTTTGAGCCACCAGCACAGCCCTCCCGAGGGTTTGCTGATGCTATGCCTTGGGTTTCTCCATCTCCAGCGAGCTCTGCTGTGTTCAGCGAATCCTGGATTTCCTTTTCCGTGAGACAGCTGCAATGTCTGTATTTCCCCACCTCAGGCAGATGGCAAAGGTTTTGTTCCAGCTGCCAGCTCCCTTGGGCGCTGCTCTGCGGGCAACCAAAGGGTTCACCCCCAATGCGGGAACAGTGGGTGCAAATGGAGATGTGCACACATCAGCAGCCACAACCAGGGCAGTCACTCCTGAGCCTTCCCTGGGTGCAGGACCTTGCAGTTCTTGGCCAAACCTTGCCCATGGCAGGGCCAGCACATCCATTACTGCAAGGGTGAGGAGACAGGAGCGATGGCCTTGGTGGGTACCAAAGTGTGTGCATTGCCCAGCAGCCGTGGGACCCTTCAGTGCACGTGGTGGCGAAGGTAATGGTCATCCCACAGGGATGTGGGAGTCTCGGGGAGACTGTGGCAGCTGTTTGGGAGCCCCTGGGGTTTTTTCAGGTGACTGGGTGTGGGTTTGGCTGGGAGCAGTGGGGGTGGAGACACTGCGCCTACCGAGGCGGATTCAGGAGGACAGCTTGGACCAGCTGAGCATCGGCTTTGGATTTCTTTCTTAGAGCATTGCAGGCTGTAAAGTACAACTGATTAGTAGGAAACTTGGTCTGAAAGTTACAGTCCCCAGCGGGTCAGTATTGGGTTTCTGGCAGGGTGTTTTATGGGATGGTTGGACCTTTGTGTCCTGGATTTGGAGAGGGCAGCTCCTGAGCACTCCTTTTTAGGCAGGCTGAGTGCAGGAATAAATGCTGCTGGAGCCACTTGCAGCAGGGAAATATTTGCCTGGTGCAGGGAGCATCCAGTGCTGCTTGGAGTCAGATTGAAGGGTTCGAGGACAAGCCATACTGATGCAGGTATACGTGCAGAACAAGTTGGATTTCGGGGTACTGAATGGCCTGCTGGGGTGTAAGTGAAGGGATTGCTATCTGGGCCCAAATCACTAATGAATCCTTTTATTTTTATCGTTTTTTACTTGATTACGCTCGCTGGGCTGTTGATGAAAACCCACAGAGCTCCCTGCAGAAGAAGGTAAGTCGTGGACTGGAGGTTAGTGTGGGTGCGTGCCTCGAGTCTGGATGGAGGGGGCTGGGGACAAGGAGCAGGGAGTCTTTGGGGTATTTTAATCTTGGTTTTGATCCCAGAGAAAGTTGGGCTGACAGCAGTGCTTTCCTGTGGTGGCAAGGCTACCAGCTGTGAATAGAAACACAGAGGATTTGGCTTCTGTAGTTAAAAACAGACATAGTAAAACCAGGCCAATGACAGAAATTAAGGTGTTTAATGTTAGAAAAATCCCCCGTTGCAGCACTGGATGTCCTTACTTGTGCCCACGGCTGGCGGGCACTGGAGCAGCTCTGCTGCAGGTGGGGGACAGGGTCCTGTTGGTCTTAGTGGCCTCAGTGGTCTAAATTACCTGTCTTCTGGGGTTTTTTTTTGAGTACTGACTGTGCTTGTCTTCGTGTTTTCCCACCAGGAAAGTCCCTCTGGGAGTTGGTGCTGGAGCAGTTTGAAGATCTCCTTGTCCGCATCCTTTTGATGGCAGCTTTTTTGTCATTCGTAAGTACCCCAGGCTCATGGGTGGGCAACTTCCAGGGCACTTATGGACCCGGGTGGCAGCCAAATAGCAAAGGAGCCAGAGGAAGGTGCGTGTTGGATGAAGGAGCTGTAGCAGTGCAGTGGTTTTCTAGGATATAGTGATAATTTCATCTACTATATACTATTAACTACTTAAAAGATGAGGCTGTAGGATTTTTCAGCAATGCTGATCTATCCAAAAGTGATATCAAACAACTACCTGGGCTGCTTTCTATTTCCCTAAGACTGTACCAGACAAAGGCAGAAAAGGGCCGTGGAAATGTTCGGTCCTTGGCATGTTGTGGTGGGATGGGAGGTAGCACTGAGCACCGTGTGTAGGGATAGGGTTGGGGTTTGGAGAGAGCAAGCGCAGAGCCCCAGCGAGAGTGGGGCTGCGAAGGGGCTGCCAAAGGCAGGTAAGGGCTGCCCAAAGCTTTCAGTCCTGGGATGCTTCTTCCTGTGATCCATAGTTTTTTGTCATTGCAGACCTTACCTGAGAGAGTGCAGGTCCATTGGACGTGTCTCTATCTTGTTGCAAGGTTTTTATCAGCAAAACTTCCTGGGTTTTTAGCTTAGAAGGTACCTTTGTTACTATCTCTTTTATCTTTCCTCTTAAATCCTTTATGTGTTTTCCCTTCATCATTTTTGATGCTGTCAGCTTTCCTGCCCCCTGTACATGCAGCCACGGGCAGTGTCTGGACTGAGGTCTGTGCTCCTGCTCTTCACTGAGTTAGGATGCAAACTGCCTGTTTGCAAGTCCCTTATCTGATTTTAATTATTACTGGCTGCTTTTCAGTCCCATCTTCCATCCAGTATAATACGTCTTTTGCCTCTACTTGTGTAGAAGGTAAAAAAGAAAGGGAAAATTACCCCATTCTTTATTTTTTCCTTGGGTATTTTTGGAAGTATTAAGTTGCAGCGTGGCCATATCCATGTTGGGATCTGCTGGAATGGAGGACACTGTCTCTGACATGTGGAGATGTGCATGTCCACAGTGCAGATACACTCCTGGTGTAATGGCCAAGCCGTGTGTCCTCGGGGTTGTGCGAGGTGCTGGGAGGGGGGTGTCCCGGCACCACCTCTCTGTGTGCCCGGAGAGGCTGCCAAGGCATCACGGGCTTGCTTTTTCCTGGCCAGAGTGCTGGGTGATGGTGATGAGAGGTGAGGGCAGCACTTCGGATGCCTGAAGCTGACTCAGAAACTCTGTGTACCACCTTCACCTCCGTTGGGGGGCAGGCAGCAGGGCAGGCACCTGCCCAATGTGTGCACATCCGCCTGGGGAGGCAAAGACGGGGCTGGGAGCATTTCCAAATGCTGTGCAGCTGCCCTCCTTGGAGTGAAGTCTCCCTCCCAGAGCCCTTCTGTTCATTTTCCAATTAAAAACGAAAAATCCAATCTGTTTAATTTTTTTTTTTTTTTTAGATTTTTTTTCCCCCCCTCCCTCTGGCTGAGCCGGCCTGGCAGCGTTTCGGCTGCCCGCGTGGGAGGTGCCTCCTGCCTGCTGTTCGCTGCCTTCCCATCCTGCCCACGTGGCTGGGAGGGTTCAGAGATCCCAGGCTGGTGACACCTGAGTGGTGATGCTCAGGGCAGGTATTGGGTATGGCTGGGCGCAGTGTGGGGGATACAGCTTTCCTCTAAACCTCTGCTGATGTGTGGGGCAGGGTTAATGCTTGCTGACAAAATACACCTCCCAGTGCGTCATGCAGCAGGAAAACATGATGCTGTGTTCGGGTAATGTCAGACAGCTGATTAGGATTGGGTTCTCCTTGTGTTTAGCAGGGTGTGAAGCCCAGCCCAGGCTTCTCCTACCACCAGTGCTGCTGGTGTGGTGCCTTCAGGGTGGTACCATCCAGATGGTGTTATTGCTCATCTTCAAACATTTCCTTCCTTAGTGGTGTATCTCCAGTGGGGCTCTTCTCCTACCTTCGATGGTGGGGAGGCTGCTTCCCTACGTGCCTTTCCCAGGAGGAGGTGTGATTCACCCCCAGCACCTCCTGCGAGCACAGAGCAGCTTCTCCTCCCCGGAGCACGCAGGCAAAGTCAGCCAGCAGCAGGCGCATCACCAGGCTCTGTGAGCCAGTGCCCACGAGCGCTGCTGACCTCCTCCCTGCTTAATAATGCCGAGAGGTGATGTGGGATCAGCTAAACTCAACAGCTACGTGATGAGCAAAGGTGCCTTTATGGGTGGCACTGAGTAGGTGCGATATGAACCCCTTTGTACTTGCACTCCGTGGTGCCTTGGAAGCGCTCAGCAGCAGCAGCACCTCGCTCCCTGACTGCCGATTTGAGCCTTATTTGTGGTGCCTCAGTACTGAGCCGTCAGCTCAGTTTTGTCCACAATCTACCTTGGGAACAACTCTGCATGAGGAGACATTTCCCACCTAGCTGCTGGAGAATTACTTATTTTTTGGGTATACTCAGGGTGTTTGGCAGTGGGATGGCAAAGCTGAGTCTTCTGTCCCGTCTTTTCAGGTACGACACATGGGCAGATAAGGAGGGCGGTGGTCCCTCACGAGGTTCAGTACATTCCCAAAACAACACGCAGCGATCCGTTTGTTGGTGAATTTGCAGAGCTCTGGCAATCTGCTTGATGGCCGAGTCTGGCGCGGTGGCTTTGCTCATCGGTAAAGCAGGCGTGAACCCTTGTGTCAGGGGTCCTTTGTGCCGGTGCCTCTGCCGCAGAGCAGTGAGGTGTTGTGATGTTGACACAGCGCAGGTCAACAAGCAGTTAAATGGAGTGCAAGTATTTGTGTGTGTGTGCTTTGTTTGTATTATGGTATGAGGTCTTTGTGGGATGGAGAGGGGCTCAGGGTGGTAAGAAGCCAGGAGGTCGGTCCCTGCTCTGCAGACCTGCTCTTGCTGCATCAATGGCTCGTATTGCATCACTTAACGTCTGCCCAGGAGGGGCTTCTCGGAGGCTGACCCTGCTGTAGACAGCGACCGCAGGGGCTGCCCAGCTGTTGCTGGCAGTGTCTGTTTGAGAAGCAGACAGTGCTGCCCTGTCTCCCCACTCATCTGCTCATGGCCATGATCCGCCTGCGAGTGCACTAGACAAAAATAGATGCTTTCCCAGTGCAAATACTCACCCAGACTTTGTGTGGCTCTTTGCTCTGGCCCTACTTATTGGATACATTAAGTTGTCCCCAGCAGAAGAGTGGAGGCACCCGAGTTAAGCACCGGCAGTGGGATACGGCAAGTCCATGCTTTAACCAAGCTGCGTGGGGCCGGCCATCAGTCTGGGTTGTCTTCTCTCCAGCAAACATCACGTGTTGGTTGGCTCTTGTTTCCATCCTTCTTAAAATGTTGGCACTTGTTTCAACTACATTGCAGTCCTTCTCTTCTCTTGCGTACCAGATCCTGGCCTGGTTTGAAGAAGGAGAGGAGACCACAACGGCATTCGTGGAGCCCATTGTCATCATTATGATCCTGATTGCCAACGCCGTGGTGGGCGTGTGGCAGGGAAGTTGCAGCCCCCCCTTGCAGCCCCCTCCCACCTGCACCACAGGTCTCTGCTCCACATGGCTGAGATGCCTCATCTGAAGGTCTGGTTGCTTCTTGCCATTGGAAACTCGTTTCTCAAAGGTTCAATTTTCATGTTGGCTATGCTGTCCTGTGCCCAAGCACAGATGCTCAGTCGTTGCCTCCTCTTGGCTCATTCCTTCAACATTACTTTGGCAGCTTTTGCAGTTTGGAGTTTAGGATCTTGCACTTTGCCATCCAGGCAAATACTGCTTGTCTCTGGGCCGTGACCAAATGCATTTTCCAAGGCAAACATTTTGCCCTGTCCACCAGAAAGCCGTGGTGGCTGCTGCCCCTCACCTTGCTGTATCTCCTAGGGAATGAGCAATGAGCCAGCAATGTTCCTATCGTATGTATTCACTTTAAGGCCATTTATTTAATCTACAGCCTGATCTGAGGTGGGGTTGCTGGATGGGGAACAATGCATCTGGGTGACATATGCCGCTTCCCAAACCAGGAGTGAGAAGATCAAGCCCAAAGGTCTATGCAGTGTCCAGGACCTGGTGGGATTTAAGTCAGTGGGGACCATTTCAGAGCAGCTGAGGAAGACGTGGCACTTGCCCATCCATGGTGCAAATGGATGCCGAACCCAGGGCTGGCGTTTGTGCCCTCCTGTCTTCACAGCGAGTGGGGAAGGAGCCTGCTGGCACAAGCAACCCCACCACTGGCAGCTCTGCTCCTCCTCTGCTTGCAGGAGAGAAACGCCGAGAGTGCCATCGAAGCCTTGAAGGAGTACGAGCCCGAGATGGGGAAGGTGATCCGCGCTGACCGCAGCGGGGTGCAGCGGATCCGCGCCCGGGACATTGTCCCTGGGGACATCGTGGAGGTGGCAGGTAGGGTGCCATCACCCCAGGGCACGGGGTGGAATGGGGAGGTGGTGCTGGCCAGGTGGGCTTCGGTGATGGGCACCCCATGGTCCTCATGGCGGGAGGGCTCTGCTGCGGTATCCGGGTGCATCTCCTCCGTTGAGTTGCCTCGTTGTTGTACACTTGAGATCTTAGTTTGTCCTCTCAGATCCAGAGAGATGAAATTATTTGGGCCAAAGTTGGGGCTTATCAGCTGCCAAGGCTTCACCTCAAGTGTAGGATGGTAGAGAAGAGCAGAAAAGGAAAAAAAAAAGTGTATATTTCTGGCACAGGTTTTGTGTCTTGGGAGGGATTCCCCGTTTTCTGGAAGAACTGGAAGAACTTTTAATTTTCCGCCAAGATTCCCTCTCTCTGGAAGCGGCTCTCCCGCGCGCATCCCCCAGACAAGGCGCGGATGAGAGCTGGTGCTGGGTGCCGCACCAGCGGGGTTGGGCGAGTGCTGCCGCCAGCGCGGGGGGGTTCAGCACTGCAGGCAGCAGCGCTGGTCCTGCCTGCGTGGGCAGGCTGCCCTGGTAGCTGGGGTTTGTCATTCGGGGAGGGCGAGAGGCAGAGGGGACCCGCCGCAGGGTGCTTTTGCCTCCCTGGTTGTGTTGGTTCCCCCAGCCCTTCTGTTGGGGTTTTGCATTCAACAAAGGATGCCTGGGGGTCTCCTGCCTGCCCCAGCAGAGCTAAAGAGGATGCATTTCAACTACCCCGTTTTGTTTGTTCGTTAAACGATGCCGTAAACTCCCAGAGCTGCAAAACTAATCCGCTCCTTTCCTCCTTGTGGCCCTGCTAGTGGAAACATGCTGCAATCCCTCCCGCGCCCAGCCAGCTCGCTGTTATTTATGTCTTCCAGTTGGGCTTCAGCTGGAAGATGAACGTGAAAATAATGCAGGGAGGATCAAGTGGAGGAGTGCTGGCCAAATCCTCAGCTGGGCAAGCGGGCGGCCACCTCCCAAGCCAGCTCTGGCAATGCACTCCAGCTGCTGAGCTGGCCTTTAATTAAATTAATTAATTAATTATTAATTCATTTCTGCTGTATTTCCCTAGATCCAGTGCTTGCTGCCTGCCCATCAGGAGCAAAATATTACCTTTTAATGGCACAGTCAGCATCATGACTGGGACAAAAAGAGCTGAGCTCTCCTCTGGAGGGGTTTGCAAATTAATTGTGGGTTTAGAAGGTTATAGCAAGCGGCAAGGATGCTGTCAGGCTGCCTGATAGGAAAGTGCACCAGGAGCAATAGCTTTGAAGGGGCACTGGACATCTGGGGGACATCCTGGCCAGCAGGGACAGCGCAGGCAGGAGGGACTGGCTTCTGTTTGCAGGTGCAAATGCAATAAATTTGGCAACAGGGAGCAGAAAACCTGCTACACTAAGAGGAGAGAGGAATGATGGTTGCAAGTTGGCAAGCAGTTTAAACCCAGCTGATTTTTGCCCTTTCATAACAAGGCAGTGGAGGTGAGTCCTTGTGCAGGCAGCTGCACAGGGATTGAACTCAGCTGCAGCACCAGCTTTTTTGCCTTGCCCAAAAAGCACAGGCAGGGCATTGCCCAGGGACCTCCACCCAGTGCTGCACCACCTGCCCGCTCCTGCTTCGCTCGGGCAGTGCCGGTGGCTGTGGCCGTGCAGAGTTGTCGCCCGTTTTCCTCTCTATCCTTTGGCTTTTGGCACTGGGTAGACTGGCAGTGCTTGGGTGATGGGCGCGTGTTTGGTAGCTGGCTAATGGCAGCTGCCGGGTCCGTACAGGTCTGCCCTGCGCCGTGCAAGTCTCCTGGGATGCTGTCACTCTGTCTGCCCTTGAGCAGATGTCATACCCATGGCACTGGAGCTTGGCGCTGTCTCTAGGGGCTGGCAACAGAGTTTTCATCTGCAGGTCTCCCGCAAACCCTCCCCACCTTTCCCAGGGCGGGAGAGGAGCTCTTTGCTCCCTTTAAGGTGCTCCAGCTCCCTTGAGCAGATGTGAAGTGTGAATCTATGCGTGAAGTGAATGTTTTCAGGGAGTCAGTGGGTCCCTGTCCTTAGCACCCCCCCCAAAAACAAGGAGCAGGGCAGGTCTGGCCGGGCGCCAGATGTTGCACGCCGCGTCCCGGAGCGCTCAGATCTACAGCTGGAATAAATGGCTGGGTGGTGGAGCAGCGCCAGCCCCCCTCCCGCTGCGCTG